CTAAATCATTGATGCAATTTCTCATCTTAAATGTTGATGAAAATATAACTCCCAAATATTTATAAGTATTTAATGTTGTTATTGGTTGGTCATTTAAAAACCACTTTTCATTTCTTGCTAAACGCCCTCCCCTTCTAAAAACAACAATATTTGTCTTGTCTAAGTTTACTTTTAGACCTGAATATTCAGTGTAATTATGTAGAATATTAAGTTGATTCTGTAAGCCTGGAATTGTATCAGACATAAGAACAACATCATCGGCAAACATAAGTAACATGATTTCTAATAAGTCTGGAAATAACTGCACTCCATATTTACCATATCTAGATATGTCGTCTGATAATTCACTAATGAAAAAGGAAAACAATAAAGGGTTAAGAACACAACCTTGCTTTAAACCAATTGGACAGTCAAAATACTCAGTATATCCGTTATCACTTCTAACACAAGCTGTTACCGAGCTGAAAATACTCATTACAGCAGTTAGCATTTTCCCATGTAAACCGGATTTGAATAAGCGCTTATATAACTTAGAACGGTCAATTGAATCAAAGGCTTTTCTAAAATCAATAAAAGCAACATATAACTTTTTCCTTTTCTTAATTAGACATTTTTCTATAACACCATGCAAAGTAAAAATATGATCAATCGTAGAGTACCCTTGTCTAAAGCCTGCTTGTGTTTCGGGAACTTTACTCCATATATTTGCCCAGTTCGTGATACGGACATTTAAAATAGATGTATATAATTTACTTAATATACACAATAAAGTATCCCCCCTGTAATTATCTGGGTTTTTGCGATCACCCTTTTTATGTAAAGGAATAACTATTGCTTTCGTCCAAGCCATGGGAAAAACACCTGTGTTAAAAATACTATTAAACAATATCTTTAAAAAAAGGCATAATAATATGTATAGATGATTTCAACAGTTCAGCAATTACACCATCTCTACCAGCTGACTTGCCATTTTTCAGATGAAAAAGATATGAACTTATTTCCTCATCAGTGATAGCAGACTCAAGAATACAGCGATCAATGTCATTTAAAGGAATATTTACATCAGAACTGAAAACATCATTCTCAATGGTATCATCAGCTTGATTTTGGGATGTGAACAACCTTTTAAAATGATTATACAATAAAGATTTATCTAATGGACAACGGGAGCTCTTTGTGTTATTCAGACTTCTCAACTCTTTCCAAAAAGCAGAAGTGTTACGGATAGAAGATTTTAACTTAGAACTTTTCTTTTGCTGAAATGTTAACTTAGCTTTTCTACATTCATATTTGTATTTATTCCTTAGTTCACAATATCTGCGTCTACTGACGGCTGATTTAGTGTTTCTGTAACGTCTCAATTCTCTTCTAGCCTCTCGCTTAGCATACTGACATCTACTAGTATAAGATCCACGATTAGCTGCTTTATAAGGTATCGTTTTAAAGACGTCTGCTGATTTCAAAATATGTTCGACAAATATATCAAGGGCTTTGTTGACACCAACATTAACTAAATCTACTAGATCATCAAGAACCGGTAGGTGTTCACACAATGAATCTAAAAAGGTTTGTACATTATCTTCATTCCACATATATCGAGCTGAACCTTCATTATCATTATCACCACTGTTATCTACAGGTGCAGTCTCAACTGCATCAAAGCTTAACATCAAACTAACAGGCATGTGCTTCGATTCAACTCTTGAGTGCACCGTTAAGTATTTACAATGTGAATGAATATTTGCAGATGCAATAAAAAAAAGTCAATAACGCTCGAGCCAGCTTCTGATATATATGTAAAGTTCCCCTCTCTATCTCCCACACATCTACCATTACATATGTACAAATGATGAGTAAAACAAAGATCAAGTAATTTTCTTCCAAACGTATTTACAATTTGATCACACGAGCTTCTCGTGTCAAGAGGTACGCTCTCCTCCTCGGGAAACGCTGCTCTGTCGACCCCTGGCCGGTCAACTGTCTCTCGGGGGTTGTTGCCACTCCCGAACCGTGCGTTAAGGTCCCCGCACATTACTGTCTCGAAGCTGCCGTCTGCGCTGTGGGTGAGCCAGTGCTCTACATCGTCTATGGCTGTCACATGATCTGTAGTGTGGTAGAAGGGAGAGCCAGTGGGGGGTACATACATTCCCATCAGTACGCGATCTTTACTCATTCTTGTCAAAGACTTGTGTACTCTGATGCCAATGACATTTGGTATATTTAGGTTCAAATGTAGGCAGTGTTTAGCAATAGATTTACGGATTAGCATGTAAACACCGCCTGATAGTCTACCCACACTAGCTAGTCTACGAGCATTTGCAACATAAACACCATAAGCAGAAAGTCGTAGGATATTTATCGCTTTATCAAGATATGTTTCCAAGAGACATACAATGTCGAATTTCAATAAAAATTCAAGAAAGCCATTATCATTAATTTTTGACATTAAACCGTCTATATTCCAAATAAGAATAGGCAAATGTTTAACATGTAAGGAAATAGTAGCACCTGGGGCGTAGGTGTCGACTGTCGGGGCCCGGCCGCATCCCTATGCTTCCTTCATCATATCGTGGGGTAGGGGATCACGTGACCTCGACGTCTCCCTTTGGACAGCTGTTGTTGCATCGAGGCTGGCGGAGTTTTTCCCCGGGGCCACGTTCGTGGCAGGGAATGGAGTCCCGATTGTCGAGGACGTTGATCGGGGACGTGCCAATCGCCGTCTCGTATCGTGCGTATTAGTACGAAGTGGTCTTGTGAACAGTTGGCCATTCTTAAAATAGCCGAACAAACCTTTAGTTTTCAAATCAGACAACTTCTCTCGCTGCTGTTTTGTTAGGTCGCTGGCAACACCTATGTTGGACCTCCGGAATTGTTCCCGATGTCGCAGAGTTTCAATTTCGTCATCACTGCTCACAAATTTTGCTATAAGTGGTCTTGATTTCATTTGTCTGTCTCTCTTGGCACCTATACGATGCGCACGTACAATATCCCCGCGTTGCCAGTCTTTTTCCGTAACGTGGTCATTTAGAAGATTTTTGCAGGAGTCAAATGATTCATTATCAGTCTCGGGTACACCGTAGAATACAACATTATACCGACGACTAAAGGCTTCAAGCCTATCTAAATCAGTGCCTTGCAACTCCAATTTACCCTCCACGAAATCGAGTCTACATTGTAAGGCGTCTATATCGTTATAGATAGACGACTGCTCGCCCGAAACGCTGTCTATGTCACTGCGAAGTTCAGATATAAGAATTTCTAGTGTTGAACACTTATCTGAGAGATTACTGAGTTTGTTATTCATAGACGCCATTTCTTTTGTCATAAGTAGCCTAAAATCCTTCAATTCAGATAGGATGTCAGCTTTCATGGATTTTAAGTCTTTCAAGTCAACTGGGCCAGGGTTGGTTTCGACATCATTTGATAGAATGATTTGTAGTCTGATCACACTCGCTGATATGACAGATCCGCGAGATGACTGCATACTGCATATATGATATGCTTCCGTATTCAAAGTGAAGTGATCTGTGACGTCACGAGTGTAAACACAGTTGTGTTCAAACGAATGCGAGGTTAAGAGACTGCGATCATTTGTTAAATAGTGGTCTACGCCTCTGATAACCAATGCAGATGTCAGTAGATGTAGGGTCAGCAGTATAACACATACCGATGCCCGGAGCGGCATATCAGACGCAGACGTGTATCGTGTGTACTTGGAGTCACAAACAGACCAAGCAAAGTTCACAGTCAATCAGCAAGTGTACGTTATCATCCAATTCCTCTCCAAGGAATGAGCAGTCGTTAACACTGCTCACTCACGGGGATGGGGCAACACTCTTGCCCCAACCCAGGGAATCGGAAATTCCCGGAATTGGGAACGATACATGTTTGCAGTGTCATCAACACAGTACAGTGCCTGTGTCACAGAATACGCTGATATTCTCCAACTTGAGAGCATCATGAACAAGGATGAACGAATTGTCAATATCAGGCTACTGGTGTTTTGAAAATAGAATGTGAAATCTGTCAACTCCTAGAATGATTTGAGGATGGATCTGTACTGATTGATCCGATGTGGGAGACAGCAACAATGTTTTCTGCGTTTATTTTTCTACATACTGGTGTTATACCTAATTACCTCATGATTTATACCGAAGAGTAACAGCGAGATAAAGTCGTAAGAAGCACCATAAATACCAGAAAGATTTGTTCATAGTATTCAGTCAAACCTTCTACTATATATAAATCAAAGTTAGTAAAACATCATGAGTGGCGGTGGGGTAGCCTAGTGGTTAAAGTGTTTGCTCGTCATGCCGAAGGCCCGGGTTCGATTCCCCACATGGGTTCAATGTATTAAGCCCATTTCTGGTGCCTCCGGCAAAAAGCGGCGTAACATTAAACTCACTCGCTCACTCACTAGTAAAACATCTTCTATTCATAAAGTTACCGACACATATGTGATACCCAACGTCAAAGTAAGCAATGAAACTGATAGTTGGGAGGCAATTCCCTTATGCTACCTGACTGTGTATGAAGACGGTGATCTGTGAATAAGTGTGCCAGGCTGTGCGATAATCGGACTGCCCTGAGAAAGGAAGGCACATCAATCACTGTACCGTGATGAGTACCGTCCAATATTCCATAAGTAATAGCCTGTAGCAGCTGGGTTCGTGATGATTGAATATGGAATATGATATAATTTTGATTGGAAAACGCGTGTATTGTGAAGGAATATATACTTGTTTTAAAAACTGTAATCGTTAAGAGAATATAATGGCTTGGTTTGATTGGTATATAGTTGGAATACCAATATTCCGAGTCTGAGGGTGCGATGGGTTTGTATATCTAGATACACTACAAACGAATATCAATCCACGTTTTAAGGCAGAAAACACGTTGGAAACTGCCTCCAGTATAACGAGGAGAATTGTTTCGACTGTGATTTCTTTGCTTGAACACGAAATGAGACAAACTACAAAGTGCAAACGCGTGATACTCACGTTTCTGGCAGTAGGAACCGAACCATCCTTCCTGACATCTGTCTGGATCACCGACCTGGCTACAGGGAGTAGAGGGGAACACGGCACAGGCACAGGCACATGCAGTGTTGCAATGACATATGACACCTGAAAGTACGATGTCTCGTTTTCTGACAATGCACGAATGCATCTTCTTTATTGTTTTACATAGGTAGTCGTATGCTCATTTAGAAAACTGAAAAGTACCATATGAAGCATACTATAACTCGGGTAAGACAGATGGAAGTATTTGAATAGCCTCAAACAAAAGTCTTACCATTGAGTGTCCCAGTCATTGAGAACAACACCCCAGTCATAAATAACCACGCCATTGTGTATCGCGCCTGTTCCTAAGGTGATGGATCCTGTAGCCCACAGACTAACGTAAATATAAGAAGTTTAAAGACGAGGTTTCAACTTGGCACGAGTTTGAAAATGGAATTCCCAAACATTGACCAAGTAGCCCTTGAAAGAGATGTCCTCACTGAACTGCCCAATCTTCTTTTTGTTTGTATTATTATGAGCAACATTGCGTTGTTGAGCAAACGGCTGCGAACTGAACACTGTACGGGGATCGGGCTTGGGCGTTGGGGGATATTTATTACGATCTCGTTTATCGATCTCGCCAAATCACTATGCCCGACAGTATATGTGATAAATTGTTTTTTGTCCAACACCAGAGGGATGCCAATACACAGAATTAAGAGAAGTTATCAACTGGACACCTGATGATGACATATGATGACAAATGAAATCACATTTTTATTTTTACCAATAGAATATAACAATGGGCTATTGGGCGCCAACAGCTAACTGAGTTTGCTTTGAATCACTTATAAAGCAATAAACTTTCATAGTCACTTTGTGGCTGAAATACTGCCGATGTGACTGTGTAATCTTTACCTCACGCACTCACTCACGTTGTGCCTTGGCATCCGGTTTAATAGCTACTAGAACAGTAGAGAAGTAATCACTTCCACAAAAGTCATCATGAATGGACCATTCAAATTCGTTGTATACATTTGAATCCGCGAATAGGTAGAATAGGTTCCCGGCGCAGGATGTAAATAGGTGCTTGAATCATCATTAAAAATACATACTTTATTACCAGAGATAAACTCTTAAAAATACTCCCCATAGCTCCGCAGCCACCATGGAGTGTCAACAAGGACGATTCCTCGTGTCTGTGTGTCTTCAGCAGAGGATACCAGGAGGATGTACTCAAGCCGAAAATATCTTGAAAAGATATGTGCCACCGGATTGGCCCATGAGCCACAGCCTTCTGCCATAGGACTCGAGGCAAATCAACAAAACAATTTGTATTTTAACCAAACGTTAATGCACAAGACCGGACGCAATACTTTTGAAAAATCAAAATGTGTGCAAAATACTTACCATGCACAGGGCTTGGCGTGACCAGCCGATTGATATAACCGGTCCCATTTTGCCACCCGTCTAGGTGAATTAAGGGTCGAAGTGGTTTGATGGGTAAAGGGACGTTGCTCTTGGAACCAGTGCCCTCAACCACCAGAATCCCTTTCTCCGCCGACTCAGGGGAACAATCCACGGCAAAGATGTTGCTCCATGTGGTCGCTTCTTACCAGCAATGGGATGTTGGGGACACATTCTGCCCCGGGTTTACATGGGGGAAGAGCTATTAGCGTTACCCAGCACTCACCATGAGGAGCCCACGAGTGCCCACAATCCTGGATTCTATCAAACATGAACAACGCGCCGTAATAAAGTTCCTTACCGTGAGGGATGCTACGCAAAAGAAATACATGATCACATGTGTAAAGTGACGAGAGGGGATGCTCCTGACTATTCCAGTTTACCGTTGGCCTCTACAGTTTAGAAGGGGTACAGGGTCAGACAGGCCTTCAGATGCCACCCAACCGGAAACCACAGCCGTTATCGAAAGAAGAATCTTGTCTAACTGTCTATCTGAACTTTCTAATGAATTCTAAATATCACCTGGAACTGTTGAAACTTCGGGGCTCAAGACCGCCATCAAAGAACTGATGGAGACGGATTTCTTTCTCGTCTTGTGACAGGTGATGAAACATTGATCCACCACTGGATTGGAATCCATGCAATGGAAGCACCCCACTATCGCACTCAACTATCGGCTGGCAAGGTAATGGCCACCATATTTTGGGATGCAAGAGGCATAAAACTGATTGATTATATGAAACAAAAAATTACAATCAACGGGCAGGGTTGTTTTAATTTAAAGAAATATTTGCGAAAATCTATTCACCAGAAACGCTGTGGGATGTTAACACGTGGTGTCCTACTGTTGCGTGACAACGCTTCGGTTCAGTCGAGAATTATACAGGCCATCATACGTGAATGTGGATTCGAACAGTTAAGTCACCCACCCTACGGCCCAGATCTTGCCCCCCGTGACTACTTTGTGTTGACCCCATGTGGACCCGGGGGCATATTTGGTCCACTAACCTGATTGCCATGGGTTGCGCCCCTGTGACGGTGGAGGACGGGATACTGGTGGTTGGGGGCACTGGGAGCCTGGAACTGTGTTCCTTTTGCCCAACACACCACTTTGGTCCGTACTTCACTTAGACGGGTTGTAGAACAGGCCCGGTTCTATCAATAGGCTGGTCACGCCAATGGTAAATATTGTCTGCACATTTTACTCATTTTTGTGTGTTGGCCTTTTCAATTTATCAATTTGTCAATATAATAAATAGCCTAGAGTCCTATGTCAGAAGGCGGTGGCTCATGGGCCAATCTGGCAATATTGTTCGCTGAATTATGTATGTCTCTGAATTATTGTTATGGGCAGAATCAGCCTGACAGTTAATTTAGTAGACAAAAATCTCTATTCAAGTCATATTTGCTTGAGTATAACATCCCTGGTGCAGACCCGATGCAATTAGACACCGTCCGTGTTGACTCTTCATGTTGGATGGGGAGCAGGGTTGTCGAATCACTTTTATATCACCATGCCTCACAATCATTCTGGTTCTATTCGCAGTGAAAAGAAGAGATGTCCTGAAGGTGAGATATTGTCGTCTGATGATGATATTTCCCTTCCACAAAATTCTAATTCTTGGGCATGATTTATTGTTGTAGACTCAAAAAATGGACTTATTTTGAAAATCAACCCTTTCGCTATAAGCAAAGCAATTGGGGGTATTTGTGGTGAAGTAGCAAATGTTTCACGTCTCCGAGGCGGCTCACTTTTAGTAGAGTGTGCTCGGAAACAACAAGCTATCAATCCTTTGAAATGTTCCACATTTGCAAACACTGAAGTCACTGTCTCGGTTCACAGAACTTAAACTTCCAGTCGAGGCATCATCCGCGACAGAGCGCGTTGTTTAGCGGAAATGACAGAGGACTAAATCCTTAAAAAAACTTCAAGGACAACATGTAACCTCGGTGAAACGTTTTATGAGAAGAGATGGAGAAATCACCATCCCAAGAAATACGTATCTGTTTACATTTGCGCTGAGTGCTATCCTTAAATCCATATAAGCAGGCTGTTTTAACATCGGAGTAGAGGTGTTTGCCCCCAATCAACTCTGGTGTTACACTTGTCAGAAATTTGGACACAGTTCCAAATTCTGCAATCATCCGTCTGCGTGCCCTCGATGTGGAGGTTATCATAAAGGCACTGGTTTTAGAGCAGTACTGAAATCCGTAAATTGTAAGGGTGAACATAACGCTGCTTCTAAAACCTGTCCTTCGTGGATACATGAAAGGGATGTTTTGACAGTGAAATGTCAAAACAACATTTCCTTTCAAGAAACAAAACAAAAAAATTGTTGCAAGCCGGTCACCTCAACGCAAACCTATGATGCAGCTGTCTCCCGCATGTCTTCAACTAGTTCCATAGAATGTCAGGCTGACTTTACATGTACCAACTCGGAACACCCTCAGCCTGTTTGTAAATCATCAGTCAGACGACTTCTGCAGACAGTCAACAATGCGTAAATTCTTCAGCATCTCAAGGTATCTCAGATACCAACTGCAGCAAAATCATCGACTGATATCTCAAAATCACAAAGGAAAAAAAGAAAAAAAGAAAAAAAAAACACATCCCAACAGCTACTGAAACATCAGTAGATCTCCATAACGTTTTTGAGTTATTAGAGAAGGATTTTACTCCTACTAGTGGTGATAACAACTCTTCGCGTTCACGTGAAAGATCACCTATAGAAGCACTGGGAGCCATTCCAACCTTCTTCAGTGGAACTGCAGAGTACTTAGGCATAAATTCCATAAACTGCAGCTATTAGCAAATGATATACATCCATCAGCAATTTGTTTACAAAAGCCACGCACCAAAAACATACAGATAAGTTTGAATTCAGGGAGTATAATTCATTTTATTCTTTTTCTCCACCAGGTGATAAAGCTACCGGTGGCTCTTCTGTTTTGGTGTGATAGGGCATTATTCATAGTCCTGTTCCCCTTAACACAAATCTGCAAGTTGTGGCAGTTCGCCTTACACTGCAAATTAGTTTCACACTTTCCTCCTTGTACCTTCACTATTCAGAGGCTTGATCTTCAAAACCTATGCGACCAGCTGCCAAAGCCCTTTATTATCATGGGCGATCTAAATGGACATAATCCTTTATGGGGAAGTTCAATTATGAATCAAAAAGGTAAAGTGATAGAGGATTGCATATCTGATAACGACCAGTGCATTTTTAATGATGACTCAGACACTTACTTATCCAGCTACAGGTGCATATTCATCACTAGATCTGTCTCATGCAGATTCAAATTTATTGAGTGAATTTGCATGGTCAGTCCACGTTGACCTCTGTGGAAGTGGACCCGTGAAGATCCGGGGTAGAATAGGTCTTCAGCAACCCATGCTTGCCACCAAAGGCGACTAACGGGATCGGGTGGTCAGGCTCGCTGACTTCGTTGACACATGTCATCGGTTCCCAATTGCGCAGATCGATGCTCATGCTGTTGATCACTGGATTGTCTGATCCAGACTCGATTATTTACAGACCGCTGCCATATAGCTGTAATATTGCTGAGTGCGGCGTAAAACTAAACTCACTCACTTACTGTGGAAGTGACCACTTTCCAACTATTTTAAAGTCTGTGCTCCCATCTGATGTTCGAAATTCCTCCTTCATCACGATGGAACTTTAGAAAAGCTAACTGGCCTTTATATTAAACCCTTTGCACTAACAAATTGAAGCCTGAACTTTTTATTGGGACTCCTGATCCCATAAAATGTTTTTTTTCTGATGAACAATGTAATTGCTGATGAATGTATACCTAAGTCCTCTGCTGTTCCTCACACATGAAAACCATGGTTTGATGACAACTGCAAACAAGCGAGGAAGGCACGGGAAAAGGCTGAGCAATAATTCCGCCGCC